TGGTTCTGTGCAGAGCTTGCTGGAAGGGGATCAGTTTCATGATCAATAACAAAAAAAAGAAAAAAAGGTAGAGGAGAATATTCCCTAGTGCTGGAACAGTACTGCCGCTGCTTTTGCTTGTCAACACTAAATAGAGTTTACAAAGAAAGACAACCTCAGAGAGGATAACTGAGCTGACAATAACTGGATTCCAGCTTGTGCATTTTCAGCAAGCTCTCTGCAAGGAGCTTTAACCTGTCTCCAAAAGGCAATAAATGAAAGGTTCAGCTCTTAAAATTGGAGGTCAGTTACATACTTAATGATGAAGCGTATCTTTAAATCTATTTCTACTATTATTATCCTAGCAAAAAATTAATTAACCAGGTCAGGGAGGCTATGAAGGCTAATGTGGAATGCAATTATTCCTGATCTTTAGACACGTACTTCACATAAAGAGATAGTCCTTACTCAGCTCACCAGGTACCTCAATTGTCAGTAGTTAATCATGGATAAGAAGAGAGACTCATTGGTTCAGTCTGTTAAGTTTTACTTATGATTCAAATTATTCCTGTTCAAAGGCAGTTTAAATAGTTGTAATTTTATGTTACTATTCTTTTGTCTGTTTACTATAACAGTAATCACATTCATTCTATTTGTGGGAAACAGAAAATGTAGGAACATTTATAGAAAAGTAGAACAGCACAAATGTATAGGTTAAAACTAGAAAAAATTACTATTAGGAATAATTTCTAGTGGCTGAATTAAAACAGAAGACTTATGAGAGCAGAGGAAATAAGTTTCTCTATGCAATGGAAATTGTACTGATTCAAACAGAAAACAAACTGCTCTGCAATGGCATTAAGGACAGTGAAGAGGAATAAGGGGAAGGGAAATGGACAGAAGCAGCTTGGATCATCTTTCACAGTTATCCTCAGCACAGATTTCTGCAGAAAAGCTCAACAATCACTGTCCCATTTAAAGACTTCAGATTTAGGACTTGCTCTGATGAAACCTCGCCACAAGGAGGAAAGCCCTAAAAACTTTCATCCCTTCAATCCACACACACTCCCATTCTCAGAGGGAAATACTGGAGCAACAGGCTCCAAGCATCAGCGGGATCTGTCTCTTCTCCTCAGATGGGCTTGGTGGGACTCAGAAGTTCCCAAGCCTCATTCTGAAAGGACTGAATTATTGTAATGAGGTACAGAATTCACAGGGATTTCAGGACCCCTGGTTTGGAAACATTTAAGAAATGCATGTCTTCCCTTTTTCCAATCTAGTCTTCATGATGTACCACCAAATTCCTCCTTTAACCAGCTTTTTCACTTATTCCTAGAGATTTTCATTTTTGTAGACTAAGAGATGTTTTTGAATTAGACCAATTATGTTCCTCCTACTTCAGAATGAATATTTTTTATTAAACAATCAAATGAAAAACATTTTTTTTACAAAAATCTTAATCAACTTGGAGACTGATCTGTGAGTCCTTATTTGCCCGACATTATTTTCTCAACTTTAATTTGCACTGAAATCAATGATTTCTCTGCACAGCTCTGTGGAATGAAGAACTTAATTTGGCATACTAGATTTCCTCCCATCTCTGTGGACTCCTCTGTAGGAGAGTGTTTATGAACATTATGAACCTTTGAGCTGAAAAGTAATAATACACTGCATTTATTTGAAAATTTTCATTTAAGATTCTCAAAACATTACATTTAAATTGAGGAAAATGTTTTGCCAAATTTCTGATAATCAGAGGCAGCACTGAGGAGAAGTCCAGATTCCCACTCCTTCTAGCCAACAAAACTGCTTTTCCCAGCACATAGACCCTGATAGAAAACATGAGATGATTATGCAGAACATTTAATGACATCTGTACTTTTGAAATACCTACCTTTTTTCCATACACTACGCCTAGATAAAGTGCTCTTTGCTTATAGATAATTGACAAAGTTTTGGATGTATAACAAGAGGTGGTCCAGTAAGGGTCTCAAAACAAAAACAAAAAAACCAAACAACCCTTTCACCAATTAAATGAAACAAGGTGTTTAAATTATTACATAAACAGATAATATACAGCACAATATAAATAATAAATACTAAGTAATGCAAATTCTCAATATATTTACCCAGTAGTTGTCCTGGGGAAGCATGCATTATTTAATATAAATAATTTTAAATTTTCTATGTGGCTGACATATTATAAGCCCCTCCTAGAGCAATTTCTAATTGCCTAAATGGTTAAACTGGATGCACTTATTCACAAAATCTCTTGTTGAAGAATTAATTCTGCACCTCAGGAGGGGACAGTTGCCACACTGTGTGTCTCACGATGAAAACATCACATCAGCAGTGCCCCTCTCCTGCATCCTGGAGAACAGGCTGTGCTTGCCTCGAGTACTGTGCCATGAATAGGCCCCTGCCCAGATGGAACTGGCACCTGTGCTGCTCACATTTTGTAATCTCTTCAAAAGGGGAGTGGCAGGGAAGGGTGCTACTCTTTTCCCACGCACACAAAGTACAGATAAGAGCCCACACCATCCTCCATAGGTAATCACTGTTTCCTGAAAATTGTTGCTCAAGAGTGTCTTTGAACAAACCTTCTAAACAAAATCAAGTTCTTGGGGACAGAGCTGCAAATTCTACCAGGCCCAAAAACTAAACTGGGAATGTAAACATTTAATAGAAATGTTGTTTCCTCTTCAAGACATAGAGAGCAAACTTCACCTCATCTCACATCAGATCTCTACGCTAAAGGCACATATATCCTTAGTTAATGGAGAGAAACAGCCATTTTAGGGAACAACTTATCTGATAAATTTTAAATATCTACTTTAGGACAAGACAAATTGCATCCTGAAACTATTCACTTTGTTTCTCACTGCTCACTACCAGAACAATCTGGATAATTAATTATTACTCTGCAGATAGAGTCTGTACTGCAGTTACCTATTTTTGACACGATGAATTCCACCCAGAGTCACCAGTGCATCTTCAGTACTGGTGTTGAGGTTTCTTGGGAAGATGGTGGCAGAGGAGAGCCAGCACAGCACTATTTCTGTCACCTGCCTCCTGTTTTGCCCCCATCCCAGCTCTAGCCCTTAAGGACCTACACATCTCAAACTGTGACATTCATAACCAATTCTACACCAGCAAAAGGCAACTTAGCAACTTCTCTCTCGAGCAACTTCTGGCTGCCAAATTTGCCACAGAATTAAGACAGAACAAATAAAAAAAGCAGGACCACTTGTCTCACAAGCAAATGGACTATGTGAGCTGGTATTTCGCCTAGAAGACAGTCTCCCAGGGAACTTTTAGTAATCTAAATAATAAGATTGGGATTTGACTTGGTGTCTGCTCAGCTTGCTTAGTGCTTCTTACTGGAGCATTGCTTGGGCCATGAGATGCCCACTACCAACCTGGCTGACCAGATGGGAGAAGAAACAATCCTCACTGCCTCAACACACTGATAAGACTCAGGTAAATGTAAAAATCATAAATCAGTGAAGAGACCGAACCACTGAGGAGATATGGCATAAGAGTTCTTGGTAAGAATTTAGAAGCAAGCACAGGGACGAGTCACCAAGAAATAGTTTAGCTCAGAATAACCATTGAAACACTTATTTGCATATACATCTAGGAAAAGTTGGGAAAGAAAACTTGTGGAGGGTTCAGCACTATGTAAGAGGAAAGGTGAAAGTGAATGAGAAAATGAACCTCCAATCTATTCTAGAATTAATTCTAAGACCACATTTCCTGGAGACAGTGGAAGGGTGAAGCTACTGGAAAGTATTGACTGAAGTGAAACATAAAGTACCTTCGAGCTTCTTACTACAGAGCAGGTATCCCAGCCAAACATACCTACAATTCTCCAAACAGAATAAAAAAAAAAAAAAAAAAAACCAAAAAAAACCAACAACCAGATAACTCTTCTGTTTTGTAGACTTAGCTAGGTGTCAGTCTTAGTTTTTATGCTGACCTTTTTATATTATTCTTTACTGAAGTCAGACTTGCAAATAACATTTAGAAAAGATGGTGTATTTTTCCCTTACACTATTCTTAATATCTCTTTTATCCTTGATGTACACCTAATATGAACACACAGTCTCCTAATAGGCAACAACAATAGTGCTTTATAATTCAATTGTGTCTCTCATACGAGGTATTAGCACATCTATATTTGTTAAATAAGCCCCTTAGAAGTGTAACTGAGACTGCATTACAACATTTTCAAAAGTATTTACAAGCATTCCTTTGGGATGAGGGAAAGAAAAACTTCAGTTTTGGCATCTAGTAACACAGCAATCAGCTAATTAAGGAAAAGAAACGGATAGCCCAAGCTTATACAAGATGATTGGCAGCACAATCACCTGTCAGACCAAACTGAAATATTTCAATCAGAGAACAGACCCATGGAAATGCTTTCAAAGTGGGAAGCAGAGAAGGTAACACAGTCACATGCCAACAATGCCTCTACATCCATGTCACTCCCAACCCACGTACACTTGCACAAAATTAAACCATGTTCGGAGTACAAGTATAAATAATTAAATATTTCCAGAATCCAGATAAAATCTTCCAGATCCACAAGGGTATAATTAGTTCAAAGGCACCTGGAACAGATATACCTGTGGGTCTTTGTACATGAGTAGACTGGTGCTAGGAACTTAGTACTGCTTCAATGTCTCAATTTTGCCTTTGTAGAACACAGAATTCCTCCAACAATAACTGAGACTCTGTTTTTACTTCACACAATGCAAATCAAACTGCAGATTTCAGAACAATGACAAGATGGTGAGATTTAAAAACAGCTCATAACTTTCAGGAGAAAACTTTGCCTATTAAAGGTCTTTGCACCAAAAAAATGTCTGACGATGATTTTCTGGGACACAAGGAACTCCCATAAAGAGCATCTTTACTGAAGCTTGTTAGTAAAGCATGTGGCTGCTTTTTTTTAGACTCTTCCCTCTCCATAAATGGAACTTAAGTATAATCAGAAGAGAGCAATAAAACACACTGACCTGAATTTGCTGCTGCAGTAGATTGATTTTGTGCTGCTGTTGCAGAAGTTGCTGCTGTTGTCTTGCAATCTATTAGAAATAAAATTTCCATTAAATTAAAACAGCAATATTGAAATTTCAATACTATTGACCGAAAAACATAATATTTGCTATTCTTTATTATATTTTATTAAGCATATTAATTTTTTTTAATGCAGCATCTTTTAGAGGTAAATTTAAATGCAACATAAAAATCTACTTAGCAAGTAAGAAATATGTATTTTAAGCAGTGAGACCTTAGCTCTGAAAAGCACAGAAACATAGGTTTATTTCTGTGCATGTGAATAATCTCATCACTATTCAACAAAGCATTTAAGCCTGTGGTGATCTTTAACTGTGATGCATTACTGTTAGCTACAATGGGAATGAAACACATGCTTAAAATTAAGTGCTTTTCTGAATGGGGATGGGATTACGCAGGTGTTTAAGGTTAAAAATACATTTTCCTGCTTTGCTGAACTGGAGCCTGAGCTGGTGTTTGTAGACGTTTCACTGTTCAGCACGAACTCCTAGAGTAAGCTTCTCTGACTCCCTTCACAATGAGCAGCACATTACTTCTCTTGCAAATCTCAAAAACCATCCTTGGAGCTACTTAGCGAAGCAAAGCCTTATTCTGTGTAAAAGCAGTACCTGGTGCTCAGCAACTCATCCTCCACACAATCCTATGAAATATGTAAATATTCTTATCCTCATTTGGTAGATTCAGTAGGGGATTGGAGGATAAAGGTTCACTCCATCCCTTCTCTATCACAGATGGAGAAAAGCAAATGGAGAACACTAAGAGACTGGTGTGAATTTGCTGCAGATACTCCATCTATCTCCCTGATTCCCACAAAATCAGCATGCTGGAGCAGAAAGGAAATAGGACCCTGCCCTCAGACCACAGAGCTGCTCCCTGCAATGGGTGATGTGGAAGTCAGCCACAGAGGAGAAGCCACAGGGAGCTGGGGGGCTTCTGGACTTTTGCTTTAGAAGGGCAACTGTGCAGCAGACTGAAATGAGAACAAGATTTGTGTTTCCTGGAAATCCCAGCCTCAGCACTTCGGCTACCTTCATTTCTTAAGTATAATTTCCCCTCCTATAAATATTTATCTAGAGCAGAGGAATCACATAAAACAGCAAGAAGCTGGTGACAAAGGTATTTTGGTCACTCAAATCCACTGTTTCTCTTTTGGCAAAATCCCTCTTGGGCTCCTTCCCTAACATCTTCTGAGCACACTTACTCTGTTATAAACAGAGAAAGTTAAGTAAAATGTTTTTATGATAAAAAAATGACAGGAATGTATCAAGGTTGGTTTGAAAATAAACACTCACATAGTTTTAGTGAAAACTGTTCAGATTAACTCATAAGGAATTTGCAGTCACATATTAACAGCTTGTAATTGTGCATACATGGAGACCAAGGCTGTCATTCCCTTAATCGCTCATTGTCACATGGAAATAACTCAGTAAGTTTTTTCAGTTAAAATTCACTTTTGTAGGAGAAATTAACACAAAATTCATGTGTATTTTAAGGCTTGTACAGCCTCAAGGAGGCAAATTAAGGTCTAGATGATTCTGGGGCTGGGTGAAGGCAAAGGGTCACAAGAAGATGGAGTCAAGCAGCTCTCACAGATCACAACACCGAGGCTTGTAACGGAGCTCAAACTCCTTTCAGGAGCCTGGTGTTAAAACAGATCAGGATGAACCTCCCAGGCAAGTCAATAAAATACAATGAGTGAGAACTGAATGAGCAGACCCTGGTGTGTGAGTGAAAAAGGGAATCAAAGAGAGCTAGCAGTCATGTGGCCAGGTAGGGCAGGGGCAGGGTTCTAGAAGCTCAGGTAGCTGTTGTCAGCACAGTGACCAGCAGTGGTGCCTGTGCTTGGTGAAACAACCCTAATGGGGATAGTGCTATATGGAATATTTGAAACCTCTACGAGAGCTGGAGTTAGCACTTTTAATGAGCAACACACCAATTGTGTGACTCCATCTTAGACGTGCAGTGCTTGTAACTAAAGATAAGTTCTGTCAGGGTTATGTCCACATTGCCCCTGCTGCTAAAGTCTCAGCAAAGGTAAAAGACGGTTAGAGTATGCAGCTTCACAGTGAAAAGATACAGACACGGAGCTGCATTGTCAGAGGGCCTCTCTCTCTCAGAGCTGTATCATTTTTTCACAGGTACACACCACCCTACATCCAGTATTGTTGGAGCTGCTGATGACCTGGCTGCAGATTAACACTGTAAACCATAGCCAACACAAGGAGGAGGCTTTCGTTTACACGTGCAAAGGAGCGGATCTGCCAGGGTACTGACTGCTTGTGAACAGCTTTTTGTACCTGCATGCACAATGTGGCACCATTTGAATAGGTATTTCCTGATGAAAACAAGAAATATACCATGGAGCATCTAATCTCCAAGGTTCCTCTTCGCTGGAGCAGTTCTGTGATAGAAAATGTACCCAAGACCCTGCAATGCAATTACCATAGCATCGTCTTGATGTATAGGCTTGACACAGTAAAGTAGGGTACACAAGCACCATGTGGCTCAAATTCTGAATTTTATTTGCCTATCGGTTGAGCTACATGCTCGCTTCATTGAGCATGACAACCTAGTTTTAAGTGTCATTTAATTTTCATTTTGAAATATAATTACAAAGTGTTCACTGTAAGATATCACTCGTCTGCAAATGTGTCAAGATTAATTTGTGCTAGCTTATTCACAAGTGTCAATAGTTAATTACTGTGTCATCTCTAGATGGCTAAATGACATTCTAACTTCTGATTTTTTACAGTGTTCCTTTATGTTATTTTCCATTAGGGGATGAGTCCATATTCCTACATGTGGGCAAATACCCAAGCACATAAAATACCAGACGTCACAACTCATTAAAATCAACAGAGCATACATTGCTGTATATATCCTATAAAATATATTTAACTGAAAAGATAATTCTAGTAATAATGTCAGATTCCTAAAAACCACACATTAATTTGGATCTGTCGGATCTACTGCCTAGGGGACTAGTGCATGGGATCATTGTTGCTGCACTTTTGTTCAATGAGAAGAGGACAGCTCACTGGACAACTGCATCTTTAAACCAAAGAAATAATCAAGGAAAAAACCAAAAATACAAAATAAGAAAATACAAATTGTTCACAACCTGAACAAACAAATCAAACCTTACTTGTGCAAAGTATTTGAAGGTTTGAGTATGCTTAAGGGTTTTTCTTTCATTATTTTCTTGCCAAAAAGAGAAATAATGGTTATAGTCTGGCTTGTCCGTAACTCTCAAAATTACATCTCAGTGCAAAGAGAACTGTGAAATCTATTATCTACTCCTCCCCCTTTTTTTTTTCAGGGTCCTATAATATTTCCTCTTTCTGGAAAAATGTGCAACTTCTGCAGATACTTAAGCTCTTTTAGCAAAAAAAAAAAAAAAAAAAGAAACAACAGTAGGCAGAATGGAGTTTGTGACAAGCATTTTCACAGTTTTCTTTCTTGGAGCCTCACCTGCTCTTGCTGTTGGCGAGCAAGGTCCATTTGCTGCCGTTGTTTTTCAATTTGTGAGGCTGCCAGCTTTTTCTGCTCATCATGGGCAGCCAGGAGCTGCTCCCGTAAGCTGATCAGCTGGGTGATCATTGTAGAGAGCTGTCGCTCTTTTTCTGCCAGGCTTTCTGGTGTACCTAAACGTGGGGGAAAGATGTACTGTAAATATGAGGTAGACAATAGTTACAAAGCAATATTTACCCCCCCTTCAAAAAATGGCTGCATCACTAATGTGGTTTTTTTTTCAAACAGCAGGTTGGATATATTTTCTACTAACAAATCTCAAAAGAATGTAACGCATAGATTTGCTGTGCTCTAAGCAGAGGAGGATGTAACAGAAATGGGAGCCGAAAAGATATAGAATATTTCCTTTTTTTCTGCCAGGGATTTATTCTGTATGAATCCCTGTATCTTCTCCATCTAAATCTGCCCACTGTGATAAATACATTCATCATTTATCAGACATAATTTTACCTCAGTTTATATTTCTTCTCATTTTTTCACTCCAATTATGTACAAATGCTAAAAAAGAATTTAAAAGATACTGTTCGGTGGAAGAAGCAGTTTAAGAATTTATTGATCATTTCTCCAAAATATCCATATATCTGGTAGGTTATTTAGGTAAATGTAAGCTATGGCTGTGGCACGTGTATTAAAAATGAGCTTTACTTGTCCCCAAGAGAAATGGATAACCTGAGAAAATAGCTTAAGAATTTTCATTTAACTTTCAAAGTTTACTCTACAGAGAGCACTTAATTAATATGAAACTACGGTACATTTATTCTTTGCACTAATGATGCTTAATGATCTGTTTATGGGTAAATTGCATGGGTCTCATAAGTGGAGAGTACAGGGTCCTTTTCCAAATCAATCTGAAAATATCCCACCTTATATAGGAACACATTACCCTGTCAGAAACAGCAATGTCAATTCCTATATTTGAGCCATAAAATAAATTTCCTTTTGTGAGCACCACAGAATCATAGGTCTATAAGAGAAAATGTAAATACATCAAGGTAGAAGTCCAAGAATATTGGAAGATAATCTGAAAGAAGTTTAGAGTTGGAAGTGGGATAAATAAAGCAATTTAATGTTGTGAAGTAGAACTGAAAATCAGAGAAGATAACCAAATCAAGAATTATTCAGGTCTGTAGTCTACCAAAATGATATGAGAAGTGGCATATAAGAATAGAATAGAATAGAATAGAATAGAATAGAATAGAATAGAATAGAATAGAATAGAATAGAATAATATATTAGAATAGAATAATATATTAGAATAGAATAATTAATATATTAGAATAGAATAGAATAGAATAGAATAGAATAGAATAGAATAGAATAGAATAGAATAGAATAGAATAGAATAGAATAGAATAGAATAGAATAGAATATTCAGATAATTCCTTTCCTCTGTTCACAAGAGAGGACTGTGATAAAGAAGTCACTGGACTTTTGAAGAAGAAAAGATGTGAGTAACAGGACCTGGGAGGGAATGGAGAAACTGTCACAAAATTATGGCTCCAGCTTCTTCCCAGGAATAAGATAATATCTTCTAAAGAAAAGAAGAAAAAAAGAGGCTGACAGGTTTTATAAGGAGAAGGAAGGCAAAACAGGCCAAGAAGGGGACAAACCCAATATGATCTACTACCTACACTGTGGGGCCAGTATGTGTCCTACACGGAATTTCATTTGCAAAAGCAGCTTTAAAGAAAACCTCTATCTGAAATTGCTTTGCATGGAAAAAAGGAAACTGCCTGGCTTAATTCATTCTCTCTAAACAAACTCTGAGAAACAAAGGGTAGCTCATTTTCTGTACATTTATTAATTGCATTTAGCAATGCAAAGTACTGAAAAATATTCCATTTCTAATTTACTATTAAGTATCTTAGTTTTCAAAGAATTTCCAAGAACCTGATGTTTCCCTACACTCTAATGCCTAATGTACATCCAGTGTACACGTGACACAGGTCTCTGGAAGAATGAAAATGTGTAAATTCATTGTAGTAGAAATTTTAGAAAGGGTTGATAGTGATTTCCTTAGTCACAAGAGGTATGATGGATGCATGAAGTTGAAGCTGAAGGACGCCCCTACCCAGACCAACTCATTGCAAAGCCTTAGTGTGATACAAGTGACTGAAGCAATAGAAGATCTCTGTTCAAAAAGCTATTACAAGTCCAAAACAAATACAAAATAATTTTTGAAAGTAAGCTTAGGCAGGTGTGTGGCCAGGAAAGTACTGCCTTGAGAGAATCCTTTAGCATGTATGGAGCTCCATGCTGACAGCTGTTCAATTCTCTGCAACTTCAGTATAGACCTACCTTAACCCTCTTAAACTGTGTTATTTGGCCTTGAAGATTTTTCAGTATGGTTCAAAGGTCATTTACGTGGTTTTGAATTCATTTCCATATGTAAGAGACTCTTCTGCCAAAGAAAAACTCCCTTGCCCATTGTGATGGGAAGAGACCAACCACTCCACCCACCGATTTTAGAGAGCCAGTGGGAAGCAACCTGTGCCTCAAATGGTACTTATTGTCCTCCTCTGCCACCTGGGAAACAACAGCTGGAGACTTTCACATCTGTCAAGCAGCTTTGGCATCATAATGCAAGCTCCTGAGCTTACAGTCGTAAAATATTTCATACACCCAGAGCAGATATTAATCTCCCACTCCATTTCCATATTATTCTGTATAGCTTCTACTTGCTCCATAACGTGAGTAGAAAACTGCCACAAAGAGTGCCTGCAAAGGCTACAAAATGTTGTTGTTTTGTTAGGATTTCTTAGGACCATTTGATCTAGTTGCCACAATTTCTAGTCTTCTTTCTTTCTTTCTTTCTTTCCTTCTTTCTTTCTTTCCCTGTTTTTTTTACAATAGCAGGCAGAAGTAAGTGTTCTTATTCAGGAATCCACAGTAATTGTTTTTCTTTCCTTTTCCCTCCTCTGAGAAACACATCTGAAATAAATGACCCCATTTTAAGTACTCTGCTCTTTAATTTGTACCCTGTTATGTAATCCAGCAACAGAATAGAACTGATGACCACAAAATGTACACTGTGCTCCTGGAAAATCACGAGACCTCCATGAAGCTGCAGGACACCTAACCAAGAACAAGCATAAGATGAGAAAGTTGTTGTATGAACAGTGTGTGTGTGTGCAGGGTGGGGGGGGAGCCATAATTTAATTTTAGAGTGGAAAATCCCGACCATTATTTTACAGTTTAAATAGCAATAAAAACCAACTTGCTTAGAATGCAGACCAGATTGAGCTGATCTGGCTGGGACAAGAGAGGTCATCAGTAGCTCTGTGCCATCATCATCTGTTTTGCATCCACTTACTGTAGCGAGCAATGAGATTCCTAAACTCATTACCAGTAAATAAACTTCTGCTGCTGACTGAAAATATCTATAAATAAAATAAAAATACAGCTATTTGTAAAATGTATTTGCCATAAAAACAGATAAAACAAAAAGCTTAGTAAAAAATGAACAGTAAATATGCCAGCTTCCATAAAATATTATATACCACAGCTCTCTCTCTGTTCTAATCCTATTCTCTTACTCCAAAGACAGCAGTACATTTTTTTCCATGGGGTCTTCCTTATCCCCAAAACACATCTGTCTTGAGTTTCTCTCAGATTTGTCAGGTGGATCAGTGCTCCCCAGGGCCTGCTCCATCTGAAGTATTTTAATTTGACTAAACACCTGATTTATTTTATCTCTCCGATGAGAAAGGCAGTTTGTCTTAATAGAGCCTGTCAGCCCACAGTCCCATTCACAGCAATTTACAGGCAGCCAGGGATGCTGGAAAAGAAGAGTGCTGTGATTCTGTATTTTATCCTCCTCCAGAAAGCACCTAAAAGCAGCTATTCACTGCTACTGCATGTGGCATTTTAGAACTGAATTAGCTTTTTATTCAAGTAACTACACTTGTTGTGAATAGCTTATCTGTAAAATTGCTACATTCACTACTGATTTTATTAACCTTTGGCTCTATCACAAAATGGTCTTCAGTTAGGAAAGACCTTTAAAATTGACACATTTTTCTTAGGGGCCTTTATTTCAGTGACTACAGATACACTGAATTTGATCCATTGACTCCCTTTACTAGCAGTATTTAAAATTTTGAGTGTTGGTGGGAAACTGATAGTGTTTAAGGATTTCTTTTTAAAATTAAGATATGTCAATCTCATCAAAAGTTCAGGAAAAAAGTTATTATTTATGATAATACTTTGAGTATATCCCCACCTTTGTGATGATAATCTGGTCGTAGTAATATTTTAATTTTTCTGTGTGCCAATTGTTTTTCTCTTTATTTTGGATTTAAGCACAAACTGAGATAAAATATTCAGATTGAAGAGAACTAAGGCATCAAAGAGAACTCTTGACTTTTTGAAATTCTAGTCATAGGTCAATCTAACCAGGAGAAAGAAAATAAAAAGTAGCTATAAATCTGCTGAAAAAGAGAGAAGAGTTCAGCTTGTGGTCTAAAATTACATTTAGAAAGAATTCTACTTGTGGCAAAACTCTATGTACCAAATCCAATTAGAATACTACACAATTTCTGGTACATTAAGTAACAGAAAGAGCATCATGCATCTTATACTGCATTTAATAAAAATCATAAACCCCATCCTGAATTTTATTTACTTGGATTTCTTTAAGTATTGGGAAAAAAAAAAAAAGAAAATTAAAAAAAAAACAAAAAAAATTGTATCATGTAAGTATAGCTGCACAATATAATTCAAGTTCCTATATCAACCACTGGTTTACCACCTTCTAACACTCCTGTTACCTTTTACAACCTATTCAGTCTATATACAAATGTAGCTGCATGTAAACAAACAGTGCAGGCTTCTCAATGTTAAATTTCTTACTGTCCTTGTGGCAAGCTGTCCTGAGGTAGAGGCAGAGTAACAACTGCTGGTAAGGGAAAAAAAGAAACAGGCATAACAAAAAATAGACTTCTAGGCTTACATAGTATAATTTAAACTAATCCCTCTTACACTCAGGAAAAGAAAACAAGGTAAAACCACATATTCTATCAAGTATATAAAAGACAAAATACTGGAGTCATAAATGAACCAAAAATTGTACAGGCATGATCCATAGCTTTCTAAAGTAGGGTTTTTAGCTGTG